AAAATTTGCGAAAACTGTGAGGAATTGGATCCCATGTTATGACTTTTTTTATCAGAAATGTCCTTTTTCACATTCTTCAATTTGGACGGTGACTTTGTAATAGTTTCGTCATTATCAAGAACATAATGCAATTCCCAATTCAAAATTTTCTAGGGGTTTTGTATGCCGGTTTGATGTTGACTAGAGAAGGACCAAAAGTGTTGGAATTCAATTGCCGTTTTGGTGATCCAGAAACTGAAGTCATTTTGCCCCTGCTTAAATCTGATTTGTATGATATTATGTTATCATGTTGCAATGGAACATTAAACAAGCAGGAATTGAAATGGGAAAGTGGTATAAGTGCCGTAGGAGTTGTAATGGCATCCAGAGGTTACCCCGAAAGTTCAAGTAAAGGGCAAGTCATAACAGGTTAGTATATTTACTTGATTTTCCATCCATATATGGATGATCTACATATGTTCTCAAAGAGTTTGCAATACAAATCTGATTTTATTTTTTATTTTTCATTGTACATTGTGGTCCATTAGGTGTTCAACAAATGGGAATTATTTTATTTGTCGCACAATTGAAATTTGAATACTATCAAAAGTTATTATATGTTGAACAACTATATTAGATGTACATGAAATGGCTTCAAACCCAACAGTATACAGGCCTGATCAAAACATATTAATTCAAGAATCAATTTGGCACTTGAAGATTCTGCTGAACTTTGGCATATTACAGAATGGTTTTTGAGACTTCACTGTTCAAAATTATTTTGTTCATTTCAAATAAGATTATGATTTGAAATATGATTTTTTCATTGTGAATTTAGAGTGAAATAACAGTACAATATAAAAGCTTTCTACTTCATCATTACATAGAAACTGGAAAACTTTTGAAGGAGAGAGGAAAAAAATTAAATACTTCAATAAAAAAATCTTTATAAAGATTTGTAGAGAGATCTACAAATATGTATGAACGCAGACGGTTTTTTTCAATACAAACTAACAATTCGTAATGGCCATGAAACAGATATCATACGCAGGAAGCTTGCACAACATAATAAGACCAAGTATTGATATAAAATTTCACTTACATGAAAACTCTTCAATGTCTAGATGTACTTTGAAATTTCGGATGATAATACTTCCATCAACTTCTCATCAACACCTTTTTAAATAACTTTGAGAGACGATTCACTCAATCTTAGCAAAACAATTTAAGTATAGCTGAGATAGAGAGTTTTCTTTGTAGGAGAAATTTAATATTGATTCTCTTCCATTTATTAAGACAGATTTGTCAAACTGAATTTTGCAGAAGGCCATATATTAATATTGAATGTGTAGGCGGGCCATATTCAAATTGAATAAAATACAGAATTATAACATTTCATTTATTTAATTATA